GGCTTCTAGATTTTTCCCGCACATCCCTCCGAAGGCGGGCGCGGGCGCGCTCCACTCACCGAAACGAACCGGGTGTCAAGGCCATGCCCTTTTCCGGCCACTCGTTTTAGAGGAAACGTGGGGAACCTTCGCGCAGGTCCGGTGCCAAAGCTCGCGGCGGCAGAGCGCGGATTCGCTGATCTCGCCTCAAGCGAGAGCTGGCAGCTAAAGTGTCGCGTCCTTATGGTGGACCTGGGGCAGTCCTTGTTTTGAGGGTACCCTGTGGCAAAGTCTTGAAACAGTAAACCAAGTCTTGTTATGTTTTTGTTTGGGGGGGTCCACCAATTTCATTAAAAAACATCCCCAGCCAACCGACATTCCCAGCAAAAGCAGTGCCGAAAACAGGTGCTACTGGCTTCTAACATCAGCATACTCTCCACTTCGGACACTTAGACCCCTGGTGGGCAAAATGATCCTGGGAGGCATTCCTGCGACAAGAAGTTGGTGATAAATGGGGGGTTTCTCAAAGTCGCAGACCTTTTTGGAGGATTCTAAAGGGATGCCAAAAGGAAAGCTATCAAACAAATGAACCGTAGACCAACCAGGAAAAATTGACAAAACCTCGTGTGCTGAAAACCTCGTGTGCTGAAAACCTCTGAAAAGACCGAACGCCAAACACTGCCACACATTGGTGTGAGTAAACTCAAGAGACGCAGGAAGTGATAGTCCGTCGTGACTACCTTGTGATTGCTGTTTTATCTCGGGTTTTTTGTGTTTTGTTTTTTTTTGGGGGGGGGTTCCATTGGTACTGTGGATGCACGAAATCTTGCACCACTTTGAAACCATGAAAAACCATTGTTGTTTGGTGTTTGCAGGGGAATCACCAGAAACCAGAGTTTCTGAGGTGGTGCGAAATGGATTTCTTCCATTCACAGGTCCACAGAACCAGCTGCAGAAAGGCTCGACGGGCCTTCCGTGGATTCGCCAGCTGCAAGCATCTCTCGCCACTGGGACAGGTCCTGAATCGACTTCTTCGAAATCCCTCTGATCAATGTGGGTTGCTGTGGGGACGAGTCAAGAGATGCTCCCTCAAAAACAAGGTAGAGGTGCATCAATTCATTTGGGTGTGGGTCAAATATGGGTACCTTGAATGGGAACCCTGGCAAATGGAAGCAAAGAACAAAACCTGCGGTCCATATGGTGGTCTAATTTTGGGCCACACCCATGTATCAGGATGCTGATCCAGCCATTCAGTCCTCGGAAAGGTCCAAGCCGTTCTCGCCTGCACCGAAATCAAGCCCCCAAAATCAAGCCCTCTGAGACCCTGATCTCAAAGGGCTTCAGAACAGCCCAAAGAAGTGTGAAGAAATGGATGTGAAGAATTGGCAATCCATGTAAATGATGGGGGTTTGTGTCCACCCATGTGTGAGGGTCTGCCCCAGTACAATGCTGGGCCAAATCGCGAGCCTGAGGACAAATCCTGACCTGAGAATCTTGGGGAGCCTTCGGGCGTTTTCACCACACCGTGGCATGTTGAAAAGAAGATTCCCCAAACTCACCGTGGCTTGGATGATTAAAAGGCCTATCCCAACTCACAAGAAAGGGACATCCACTCCCTTATTGGCATTCCTTGCCAACCAAGGATCGTTCTTGTTCCCTTCTCCATCTGCAATGACTGCAATCTGCCCTTCTAAGCGTTGAAGGGTGCAGTTCCCTCCCACAGGTATCTGGCAGCAAACCTTGACACTGCTACAGCTGCTACAGCAAAGACAACAGACGACAACGACAACAAATCACCACCACCACCACCACCGCCACCACCGCCACCACCACCACAACGGCAACGGCAACAACAACGACAACGACAACGACAACGCCGACGACCACGACGACGACGGCGACGACAATGACGACAACGACGACGACGACGACGACCACCACCACCACCACAACAACAACAGCGACACGAAAATCACAACGACACTGTGCGTGCTGTGCCCTTCGAACCAGCCTGCCACCAGCCGGCGGATCAAAGGCCTCAGCTCCTGCGAGCTGGGTACCAATGGAATCAATGGAGAGAAGGATTTCTTGAAGGATGTCTTGCCAGTGGGACTCTTCATGCTATCTTCGAAAACTGCGCAATGCCGGAACACTCCAAAACAGCGCACGGCACTCGTGCAGCTCCAATCTTGCACCACGCGCACACCTCTCGTAGCCTTTTAACTGATGCAAGGTTCCAGGCTGTGTGGGCCTCGCCTTGCGTATCAGCCAAGGAAGCCAAGCACAAACGGCTTTGGCGGAGCAGAGACTGCACATGAGCCTTCACACTGGTTTTTGAACAATCACAGCTGCTCAGAGTTCTCGGCAGGCCAAAAGTGGCGGGCAATCGATGCCTTGGGTTTCTAATCTTCCATTACTTGACTTCTCCAAATGGCGCTGGTAGGCTGTGGCTGGCTCGAAGCGAGCTGTGCGCGCCGCCGCAGCGAAGTACAGTGACAAGCAGGCGCTCGACGTTTGAAAACGAGCGCCAGGGGCAAAGCGCGCTTCCGAACTTCCTGGTAATGTCAAGCAGGTGATTCATGATTGAAAACAAACGCCAGGGACGCAGCGCGCTTCCTTTCTGGAGCCAGTTCTTCAGCCGGCGCTGGGTATCGAAGCATCCGATTCCGAGCCATCGACTCCTCCGCGCGCTGGGCCGCGAGCTCGCAGCCCTGGAAGGCTGCAACGCCGCCCTCCGGCGGGAGCCGCTGCCTGGAAGAAGTCGAGTCCGAGCGGCGGGGGGAGGGGAGGGGAGGGGGGGGGGGAGGTTGGGAGGTACTCACTGGCTGGGTGGATGGCCCAACAAAAGTTCAAACTTTGTAATTGCCACTAAAATGGTCTTCCCAAAAAGTTTAAAGTTCATGAACTCAGGAAGTGAGGTTATGTGCGAACAAACCAGCAAAAATGGGGAAACCAGCCAATTTCGGGGGGTCGAGTGGGCCAAAAGGTCTGACTCTGACTCGAACATTCTTGGATTGCCCCAGCGAGAGTGGAATGATTCGATTCTGGCAGCTTGCTGCGGCTCTGTCTCACGCACGCTTTGCCTGGGCCGTGTCATCGTTCACCTGCCTCTACACTACGGTGTAGGTGAATCTTCTGTGGGGCGGCTGCATCATGTGCTTAACAAAGTCAGACTGGCACGCTTGATATCCAATTGTTCATCAAGGATTGCGGTCACGACCCTGAGGATGTACCCAAACGAAAGGTCCCCCACTAGTTGAGGATGGACAGGTGGACACCACATCGGCTCTTGGATTCAAGCTCAACAGCTGTCACATGAGTTGCTTGACGTGAGAAAACTGGGTGGCCCCCTTGTTTTGTGGCTGCCCTTCTCATCCTCCCCAACTAACAATCGACCAGCAGTAAGTTGGCCAGTTGCTCATATCAAAGGCATCTGAATTCTAAAACCTCTAGTCTAGTTTCTAGCACTCCATGCATCCGTGCATAGGTTCGCTCCCTCAACCACCCACAGTGGAGGATGGGCATATAAGCACAATGTGTCCAGTCAGACCAGCCAAAGGTGACAGCGATTGGGGCGGAGAACATTCCGACCTGCGCAAGTCCTCAACGATAGCCCCCTCGCCTCACATTTCTCCTTGAGGGAAACATGGCCTGCAAGCACAGCGAGCTGCAACAGGCTCAGAACCCCCAACAAACCAACCAACCAAATCAAGGGACTTTGGCAACGACTCTGGTTTGCTGTGTTGCTTGAACTAACAAAAGAAAGATATTTTTCTTGGCTAAATTACTTGCTTCCCAACAGGACGTGGAAAAACTGGGTAAGCCTTTTGGTTTTGTGATTGAAAATCGGGCGCCCCCTGTTCGTCCTCCCAATGACTACCTGCAGTTTGGTCTGCTCCTCACATGGCACAGCTCACTGATGCTTGGGTTGTGAAATTCCCTTGACCCTTTCAAGACGTGTTGTCAATGTTGACCCCATATTAATCAACCCCAGCTTATTAGGGGGGTGCTTTTCCCTGGGTTTAGTGGTTGGAATCAGACCACTTTTGAAGGGGGCCCCCACTCCCCTATTAATAACAGGGATCCTTACATTATACACCACATTGCAACTTGCAAATGGTAGTTCCCCTGTATTTTGGTGTTGAAAAAGCCACATGTTGCAAATGGTGGCAAAATGGAAGTCTTTTAAGGAGCCCTGTGATAAACTGGCCGGTGGCCTAAAAATAAAGGGGTCAACAGTACCGCGAAAGCCTTCGCCTTGCTGCGATGGCCGCGAATGAAGTCCTGGAGCTCCTGCAGGCCGTCGCCTCAGCTTGTGGACGGCGTGTGCCGTGCTGCGTTGAGTTTGCTTGCACCGGGCTCGATGTTGATGTTAAGACCCCCCTGCAAAAAGTGTTTAACTTGTTGGAGGGGTTTGGTGGAAAACGCTTGCTGTGGTGTATTGAACAGCCATGGTTGGTCCAAGCGCAAAAAAGATCTTCCAGAGGCTTGCACCAACTAACTCAGTGCGTCTATGAAGACGACATCCAGTGTTCACTTGGCAGGCGAGCATGCAGTGCTGAGAGAGTGCACTGGTGCACTTGAGCAGGCGTCCTTATCACTTGGCAGGCAGGCGTGCAGCACTGAGATGGGTGCGCTTGAGCGGGTGTTCTTACCGTTTGACAGGCGTTTGCCAGTGCTGAGCGGGCGCAGTTGAGCGGGTGTGCTTACCATTACTTGCCAGGCGCGGGTGCAGTGCGTGCTGAGCTGGTGTGCGGGCGGGTAACCACCCCATACCTTTTAGAAAGTCATATGATCACTGGTGCGTTTGAACATGTAGAACAATAGGTGCTTCGCTGGCCATGAACAAAGTGGGTGTGTGTTTGTGGGGCGGGTCATAGAGTCATTCGTGCGAAGCCAGCCAAAAATGGATCCACTAGATTCCAGAGAATCAGGCTCTCCAGTGAAATCACCTACTGTTGCGCTGGCTCGGTGTCTTTCTGTGGTAGCTGTGGGCTTGACTGCACTGCAACTTTTCGAAGTCAACGGTAGTTCATGAGCCCCGCGCACTCCTCCAGCGCCTGGACGCAGGAGTCCACATCATACCTGAGCTCAGGCAAGCCTTGCGCTTGCGCGCGCCTTGCGCAGCGAGCTGCGGCTTTCGGGGCACTGGACGTTGCGAAGCCAAGAGGTGTCAAAGACCTCAGAGCAGGGCCAGCAGCGAAAAACACCATGGCCAGCAGCTATAGTACTCATCTAGGGGTTGCTTCCTTTTCCATTCTTTTCAACCATCGTTCTTTTCAAGAAACGGATCTGTTTCCCCTGGGTTTTTGATGGTTTCCTGCGGAAGATTCGGATCCCTGGAAAGAATGGACATGGAAGGTTCCCCCAGAACTAAGCCTTCAACCGCAATCTTCATGACCGCATCCTGCCAAACTCGCACCCAACTCCCGAATCAGCTGAAGACGAACCGAAATCTTTCGAAGCTCCGCCTTGAAGCACATGGCGCGCTTCTCTTCCATGTCCTCGATAGATTCGAATCTAAAGGGTAGGCAACACGCATGCAGGTGCTTGGTGGAGAAAACAGCTGAAATAACGTCGACCATTTCTTGGTCCAACCACACATTTGGCTGTCCCATGCAAGTGCTTGGTGGAAAAAACAACTCAAATAACGTCGACCATTTCTTGGTGCAACCACTTGAAATCCACCCAAGGGGACGCAGGCGGAGAACCATGTGTCGGCGAGCACGGTGCCTTAAAAATTGGTAGGATTCCTTATGCTTCCCGTTAAAGTCACTCCAAAAAAGGTGCCAACTGAGTGTGTGTGTGTGTGTGCGTGTCCAAATAGGGGAATCCCCCAAAATGATTGGCTTCCTTTTGCTTTCCCTTTAAAACACCACCCAGAAAAGGATAATGTTGACCCTGGTTTAATCAACCACTGTTTATTAATATCCTGGTTTTAGTGGGGTTTTCTCACTTTTGGAGGGGAACACCCCCATATTTAACAAACAGGGGTTTATTAATCCGGGGTCAACATTACCCTCAAATAAAGACAAAAAAAAACCAACAACTCAAAAACGGACCCAACCTGAAATCCACATATGTGCCTGTGCGGCATCCAAGACCAGCGTCATTTGCTTCTCCTGATGGGGCGTGACTCTGAAGCTCGGACCCGAGTGAAGGAGCCTTTGGTTCCCCTTTTCATAGGATGCTATGCTTCCCCCCAAAGCTCCCCCCCAAATCCTGAGTCTTTGGGGGGGGGGGGGGCATAGCATCCTTTCACCTTTGGTTTTGCCTTGGAACCCTCGACAAGGATAACAATATTGCCAAAAAAAGACGGACCCACATGAGCCATGGAAGTGTCCAAAGTTCGCAGCGGACGTTGGGCTCGTCCCCGGTGGCAAATTGCGTGGTATGTCCCGAACCCCAAACGGACCGCGGACTGGACACTTTGTCCGTGAGACAAGCTGGGACCTGCTCACTAAGCCTAGGGTGAATACTGAGAATCTTGATTTGGAGGGGGGTATGACAGAATGATCTGAGAGGGGGGAGGTATGACAAGTGCTGGGTATGTATGTATGTATGTATGTATGTGTGTATGTGTGTATGTGTGTATGTGTGTATGTCTGTATGTGTGCATGTGTGCATGTGTGTATGTGTGTATGTGTGTATGTGTGTATGTGTGTATGTGTCTATGTGTGTATGTGCGTGTATGCGTGTATTTGTGTATGTGTGTATGTGTGTATGTGTGTATGTGTCTATGTATGTGTGTATGTGTATGTGTGTATGTGTGTATGTGTGTATGTGTGTATGTGTGTATGTGTGTATGTGTGTATGTGTGTATGTGTGTATGTGT